TGTTCTTGTGCATCTCCCCTCACTTCATATCAGCTGGATGCTTCACCCTCAGCTCTAGCCCTCTGTGGTTATGTCCTTGTCCATGGGCTCAAGTGTCCTCAGGTCTCACCACACTTTGGACCAACCAGCCCTTCCTCTTCTCTCTCTCATCTCCAGGTCAACAGGAATCCATAGAACATGGTTGAACTCAGCCCATTCCTTCATTGCTGCCTTTCCCCATCTTCCACTCACCAGTAGACCAATGTGGTCACCAGCAAGCTTACATGCCTGTTTGTGTGTTCCCTTTGAGTTTTAGTCTTAGAGGGGAGTTAGTCCTGAAGGAACTTGATTGCTTGCCTCGATGACTTCCTGGCAAATAGCTTGCTTCTTCTTGTAGTAGCCAGTCATGCTGACATTTTTGTTTTGTGTTTTTCCTGAAGATCTTTCTTTTGAAGATGTATCTTCTGTTGCTCTAGCTGTTCCAGGCTGGTCTGCTTGTCCTTGCTAGCGGGGATGTACCACCTCAGAAGGTTCTGGATGGGACTCAGAATTCCACCTAAGGTCCTATACTCTGCAAAGGCTTTGCAAGAGGCCTATTTCACTGGGCAAGTTCTAGAACCCCTTTTAGGTATTCCAATAAGTTTTAGGCTGAAGACAGGCTTACAAGTTTGCTGTAATCATGTTTCCTGACATTCCTTTCTATCCTACTCAAGTGTCTGTCTTACAATAGTAAGCAAGGGAAACCAAATTCATAAGATAGTCAAGCATTTTAGTATTTTTTCCCCTCTTCAAGCTATGCCTAAATCTCTGTATCGCATAGCCCTGTTGTTCCAAGGTTGAGCATGTATCACTATGTACCTGTGTCCCACTTAGGCCATGCAAACCTGTCTCAGTGTTCCCTTATCTATCTTGTTCTTCCACCTCCTCCCCCTTCTTGTATTGCCCTCCTCAACACCTGAACTAACCCCCTCACCCCAACCCCACTGCTGTGGTTACCTTATATTCTATTAACTTTTTCCTCCATTTAAAACAGTCTACTTTATCCTGTAATCTACTTGACCTTCCCACCACCTGGATCTCTGTTCCTGTGTTTACCTTCTTTTACACCGTAATTGTTTTGATCATAGACTGACCTCCCAGATCCTCTGTTCTTATCATTTTATTCTGTTCTTGACTCTTCCCCGTTTGTTGATTGAGTTCAGGGTGATGTCGCCATGTATGTCAATCTCTGTTTGTTGTCTGTTCTTATTGGTTCTTCAGTCCACAGAACTCCCTTTAGGATGTTTTTCATAGTCGGGTTGGCTTTGGCAAAATCCCTTAGCTTCTGTTTATCCTGGAATGTTTTGATTACACCATTGTAGTTGACTGACAGCTTTGCTGGGTAGAGGATTCTTGGGTGGCAGTTTTTTTTTTTTTCAGGATTTTATATATGTCTTCCCATTGTCTTCTTGCATGCATGGTTTCTGTTGAGAGATCCAAGCTTAATCTGATTTGCTTGCCTTTGTATGTTACACTTCTCTTTTCCTTAGCTGCTTCCAGCTTATCTTTGAATTAGGAGAGCTTGATTATGATATGTTTTGCTGATTGTTTGTTAGGGCCTATCCTTCTTGGGTTTCGATGAGCTTCTCAAATGCATATCATTTTGTTTTTCAGGATGTTAGGAAAAATTTCTTCCAGAAGCTCTTCAACTATCTTCTCTGTGGATTTGTGTGATTCTTCCTGTTCTGGAATGCCGATAATTCTTAAGTTATTCTTCTTCATGTAGTCCAACATGAATCTTAGGCCTTCTTCAGAATTTTTATCCTTTTTTTCTTCTTGCTCTCCTATCTTAGTAGCGTTAAGTGATTTATCTTCTAGCTCACTAGTTCTGGCTTCTACTCGTCGATTCTACTCCTTTGTCCTTTCAGTATATTGTCCATTTCTGATATTCAGTTATTAATTATTTGGACCTCTTTCTGTAGGTTTTGCATTGCTTTCAATGCTGTATCTATTTTATTTGATTGTTCTGTAGTGCTTTCCTGACTTCTTCCTTATTTTTCTCAACTCCATTGTAGAGTGTTTTGTTACATTTTATAATAATTTTTCTGAATTCCTTCTCAGAAATTTCTAAAGCCTGCCCATCTTCCAGTATGAAGTGTAGGTCTACTTCCAGCTCATTTGCCTCAGTCACTTCATCTCATTTCTGGTTTTTGGGCATATTCAGGAGTTATCTGTGGTCTTAATACTTAGATGGGTGTGTATTTTGGTATTTTTTATGTTTTCTGATTGCCTCCACGTAGATGTGGTCAAGAGATGGGCTTCCCTTTTCACTCCTTCCTGAGAAATTTTAAGATGCCACTGTTGGTCATTGTGACGTAACTTAGAATTTATTTTTCTGCCTATTTCCTTTTTAGTCTGCATGCCCTCCTCCACAAATCCTGTTCAGGCTTTTTCCCAGTGATAAACAGTTCCGGGCTGGCTGTGGCTGTTTTTGGCTATCATTTAGTTTAAAGTGGAAACTGTCACTTTAAACTTTGAGGAGATCTGTGTGCATGTGTAGTAGTACCCTCCAGGGGTGGGGTTGAGTGTCCACTCACTCAGGCACCCCTCTAGTTACCAGAATGGAGGTGTGCAGACAGTGAGGGACCAATGAAGAGATAAAAAAAAAACAATGTCCACACCTTTGTCTCTGTGGTTCTGTCAGGTGTCCGTGGCTCCTCTGATCTTTCCCCGATTTGGTCTCGCCCAAGAAGGCAGCTCTGGAAACAGCTGAGCGTCTTGAATTAGTACTGGATTTCTTGCTTCTGC